CTCGATCCGGGATTAAAATTGGTGACTTGGGACACCCTAAATCTCCCAAGTGGCGACTCTGAAATAAATAAATAAATCCCGTTTTGATTGTCCTTTAATTGGAAAAACTCCCTACGCCCTTCGCGGGGTTGGAAAAAGGAGGTGTGACAGTGCCGATAAAGGTAGAATGGCCTTCATGTCTGAAACAACAGCCTTAGATTATGCCCTCCGTGTTTGTAGGTCTGAGCGGGATAATGAGGTGGAGACATCGGCACTCAAGGTGGCGAGGTTAGAAGAATGGATTCAGGATCTGGAGGCGGAGTTGTCCGGATAGAACGGGCAAGTTTTTGCTTCAAAAGCTGAGGAAGTGCGACGACAGTCACAACTATCTACATCTCATACTCCTACCAACCCTTTTGTGCCACGGGAGTTGTATGAGATGTGGGTTCATGCCGAGTCTCAGCTTGATATGTATAAGTCCCTAAAGGCCAACAGGAAAGTTTCTGAAGCAGAACTCGAGGGTGTCCGTGTTAAAGCACGTGTGGCCCGTGAAGCTTGTGGTTATGCCCCTGGTACGCCTGGCGGGGATGATGTTGATGATGATGTGGACAGGCTCGCCTTTGATTCTTGGTATGACGACGAGTATGCCGATGGGGGGTGATGCGGCATAAAGCCGTTGTACTTATTTTGTTTTGTCTTGCTATTTTTGTGAGGGAGCCTTTGGACCCTTTGTAAAAAGTATTGTAATATGATAGTTGTAATGGAACAACTCCCTTTTTGCTATGTATCTCTTGATTTGTGTTCTTTTTTTGTTTTGCTATGTGGGGAGGCCCCTAGTTTTTTGATGATAGCAATGTTCAACGTGGTCGAACATTGGAGATTTCGAGCGAGGTCGAATGTGATATACTTCGAGCGAGGTCGAACGTCAAATAATTCGAGCGATGTCGAATGTGAAATAATTCGAGAGATGTCGAATGTGAAATAATTCAAGCGATGTCGAATGTAAAATGTAAAAAAGATTTGGAGCGTGAAGATGTTGCTTTATTTCATTCATTGGAGAATATTACATTTTTCCGTTCCTTTCATACATATATTGGAGAAGTTCTTGTATCCAGTCCTTTCATCGTTCATCCTGTAGAAGTAGTCGGCAGGTTGGGCGATAAAATGTACTTGAACTTCGAGACTTCCCCTTCGTCGCCTCATTAAAAACCTCCCTGAGAAAACCCAATTGGGACAAAACCCGGGAGAGGGAAAAAGAGTACGACTTGAGGGGCGTCTGTTTTCAGAAGTTGAAGTATTTGAGGTGGGCGACGTTCCAATTATTTTGTAGTAGTTTTCCCTCCATTGTTTCTAGTTGGAATGATCCTTTGTTTGTCGGTGCCGTGATTTTGTATGGCCCGTCCCAATTGGTTCCTATCTTGCCTTCTCTTGAATCTTTGCTTGCATGTGTTTTGGCCTTGAGTACACAGTCTCCGATTTTGAGTGGTCGTATTCTAGCTTTTTTGTTGTAGTACCATTCTGCTTGTTGTTTTTGGGCTACCATTCTTATGTAAGCCATGTCTCTTTTCTCTTCTTCTTCGTCAAGGGCTTGTTTCCTGTTCTCGTCATTGCTTGGTCCGCTTTAATTGGAGTATCTCAAACTAGGCTCTCCGACCTCGACTGGTATAATGGCGTCAGTCCCGTAGACTAACGAATATGGTGTCTCCCCGGTGCTTGTTTTTGGCGTGGTGTGGTATGCCCACAGTACTTCTGGTAGTAACTCCGGCCATAATCCCTTGGAGTCCTCGAGTTTTTTCATCAAGATATTCAGTATTATTTTGTTGGAGGATTCGGCCTGGCCATTTCCGGCAGGGTGATATGGCGTGGAGAGTATTCGCTTGATATGCCAGTTTTCGAAGAATTCAGTAGTCTTTTTTCCGGTGAATTGTGGTCCGTTGTCGCAGTTGATTTCTTTGGGGATGCCGAAGCGGCATATGATGTTTCTCCATATGAATGTGATAACTTCCTGCTCGCGTATTTGGGCGAATGCACCTGCTTCCACCCACTTGGAAAAATAGTCAGTTAAAACTAAAAGGAATCATATGTTACCTCGCCCTGCTGGGAGGGGTCCGACAATATTCATTCCCCATTTGATAAAAGGCCATAGCGATGTAACTAAGTGGAGGATCTCGCCTGCTTGGTGTATCATAGGGGTGTATTTTTGACATTGCTCACACTTCTTGACGTAGTCGGCGACTTCCTTCTTCATTGTGGGCCAATAGTAACCTACCCTAATGAGGCATCTGAAGAGGGCTCGGTTTCCAGTATGGGCACCGCAGTGGCCCTCGTGTACCTCCTCGAGGACGCGCCTTGTTTGGTTCGGCCCTAGACATTTCACCAAAGGACCCCCAAATGTTCTTTTGTACAGGTCGTGGTTGATGATATTGTACCTGGCTGCCTGCATTCAAAGCTTTTTGACTTCCTTTTTGTACGATGTGAGTACTCCCTCTTGCAAGTACATTATAATGTGGTTGCGCCAGTCCCAAGTCAAACTTACAGAGTGTACCTTAAGTTGGTCTATTGAAGAGTGGAGGAGGGTGACCATGTTTTCCTTAGTAATGTTATTGGTGGTCGCTGCTAATTTGGCGAGGCTATCTGCCTCGATGTTTTGTGCTTGAGGTATCTGGTCGAGTTGACATTCATCGAATTCTGGCAGCAGTTTATGAATTTCTGCCTAGTACTTTTGTAGCCTCTGCTCTTTGATTTGGAAAGTCCATGTGACGTGGTTGACGACAAGTTGTGAGTCGCATCTAAGGACGACTTATCGTGCTTCGAATTTGAGAGCTAGCTTTAGTCCTACAATTACGGCCTCATTGTTAGTCATACCGGGGAACCGTATGGATTGACGGATAACTTTGCATGTTAGGACCTCGAGTACGAGTCCCAGTCCAGATCCTGACGCGTTGGATGCGCCATCGATGTATAGGACCCATAGGTCGTGTAGACCGAGAGGGGTACGAGAAGCTTCCTGCTCGACCTCAGACATTATTTTGGCACTGAAATCGATGACAAAGTCAGCGAGTACCTGCGATTTTATCGTTGTTCGCAGCTGATATGTTATATCATGCTTGCTCAATTCTATGACCTGCTTGGCTAGTCTTCCCGACAATTCGGGTTTATCTAGGATGCTCCGCAAGGGGAAGGTCGTCACTACCAATATGGCATGGCATTGAAAATAGGGTCTAAGCTTTTGTGAAGCTATAACCAATGCCAAGGCCAATTTTTCGAGGTGGGGGTACCTCATTTCGGCGTCAACCATGGTTTTGCTAATGTAGTAAATTGGAGATTGCACAGCTTTGTTTTTACAGACCAACACTGCACTTACCGCGACCTCTGATACGGCCAAGTATATTATTAGGAGGCGTTGGCCAGGTTTTGCTTTGACGAGTAGTGGGGGAGAAGAAAAGTATGCCTTTAGTTCTCTTAAGACATCGATGCATTCTGAATTCCACTATAGCCCGTTGTCTTTCTTCAACACGTTGAAGAATTTGTGGCACCTGTCGAATGATCGTGAGATGAACCTCGACAGTGCGGCTATGCGACCGGTCAGTTTTTGCACCTGTTTCTTACTGGTTAATTCTTCAGGTATCCCTTCAATGGCTTTGATTTGATCGGGGTTGACTTCATGCCTCTTTGTGACACCAGGAAGCCGAGAAATTTGCCCGAGGTTACACCGAAGGCACATTTTTTGGGGTTCAATTTCATGTCGTACTGCCTTAATATACTGAAGGCCTCTTTCAGGTGGTCGATGTGGTCTTTTTTTTTTTTTTTTTGAC